GTTTCAAACAATTGTTACTATAGTATACACAAGAAGACAGAAAACACATGATGACATCAGCTGTACAGAGAACAAGCACACATTACTGAAGACAGGGACAACAGAAATACAAACAGAAACAGCAAAGACAAAGGAACGGTATTGGCAAGGCTATGGAAAATACTACCACACTTTATTTTCCATCAAATAACTATAACACATTGATTTTTGTTCACTGTAGTACCCTGGAAGGATAAAGGAAATGCAGAAGATGCATTCTGACATTAAGTCACTGTTTACTGTGTAGAGAGTCGTTTTGGATGGGATTTAGTTTTTCTGTATAATTCATTTGTTATTTCTTTTGTATCTTTCTTAATATTTTGCTACAACAAGACACAAGTCTTTCACAGTCCCTTCTAGTGTCATAGTTTTTTGTATTTATATCTCTTTTTCCCTCCTGTAGGTCTGTTAGTGGGAAGAAACTGTGCTCCAGCTGTGGACAGCCGTTAGGAAAGGGAGCGGCCATGATCATAGAGACCCTCAGTCTTTACTTCCACATCCAGTGCTTTAAGGTCAGTGACAGACGGAGCACTTACGAAAATACGATAAAAGCATGGGGCCAGCAATGATCTCTATTGTTCATATTATCCCCCATAAAAAGACAAAAACCAAGGGAAGTCTCAAAACATTGAGAGACTGACACATTGCTGGTTTGGTGTTTTCATATCGTTTGAGAACTAACCCCAGCCCCCTCGGTTTCTCTCTCTCTCTTCAGTGTGGGGTGTGTAAGGGACAGTTAGGCGACACGACCACGGGGACGGACGTCCGGATCAGGAACGGCCTCCTCAACTGCCACCAGTGCTACATCCGCTCCCGCTGTAAGTCTCTCCACCCCTCTCTCCCATAACTTCCTTCTATCTCTCTCTCTTTTCTGTCTCACCCTCCTTTTCCCCCTTTTCTTCTGTCTCTGTACGTGTCCACCCATCCATCCAAAACATCAGTGAATAATGAATGTGGTCGGGTTCTGTCGGCTGGTTCCGAGCAAAATAAAAAAAAGAAATTACTTTCCTGTTATATGATGCTCATAAAGAGATAGTTTAATCATTCTCTAGGATTATAGAGAGGGTGTGTTGTTGTTCCTTATTGTTTGTTAATGTTGGCCATATTTCATATTTTCACTGATGAATAAATGCCATTTTCAATAAGGCGATGGTGTCGTAGCTCCAGCAGTAAATAAGGGGCTCATAAACCAGGTAGAAAACCAGACAGTTAGCTTTATTTATTGTTTTCAAAGTAAACTTGACACTATTTTATGATAAAAATTTAAGGTGTATTTCAAAGGTTTCATTGTTTATTGCGACCCGATGTGTGGCTGATAAGACGAGTGTATTTTAATATAAGAATCCTACCCAGTGCAGCTTTAATAAAGAAGTGTCAGACATGGTGAAGCTTGGCTGAATGGATCTGAAGCTGCATCGGGAGGAAGAGAAACTAGTGATGTAGCAGCTGGGAGAGGATGACAGTAGCTTTCACCTTGCCTGCACCAGAGCAAAGGTTCATGCTTTCTAAAAGACACAGCTCACGTAACCTCTCAGCGGCTGTTATCATTGGGGGATCAGAAAACCACAAAATCAAATCAGAGCCTCACTCAAAAGACTTGCAAGTCATTAACCCAAATTAAGAGGTTTTATTTCATTAGAGCTGCATGTCCTTGACCTTAAAATCCCTTCAAAAAAGACCATTGTGGTTTATAAAAATTGTGGGCTTCCTTCTCTTTCTCTTTCTTTTTCCTTTCAAGCTGCCGGACAGCCGACCACATTGTGACGCTCGACAGAAAAAAGCACAAGGTTCACGGAAGAAACCCCATCCCTGTTTTAATCCGATTATCTGCAAATCATGTCCTTCACAGCGTGTCGGGATCTTTGCATCCTCTGCAGTTCAGTAACCAATGAAGATTCATCATGAGGGGCCAAACAGGGATCTGCAGACAGTCTTTAACAAATATATATATTCTTCGTGTTTATGTCATCTGATATGTGAGTGAAATCTGGATTTGATTGGTCCACGTACCACCACAGACTCTGTTTCATCATGCAGCGAGAGAGAGAGAAAGAGACTGTTCTGGGGTGGCGGCCATGTTGAAAAGAAAACACAATAACATTTACAGATGCTTCATATGCAGGCTATGTTAACGTCCCACACTGTCAGAGTGAACACACAAAAAGAAAATATGGTCAAATCATGGTTAAGTAGAATTCAGATTCTACTTTCCAGGTTGGAAAAAATTTGAATATTTACCATTCAGTTCCATATAATGGAAATGCAGTATATCACATAGTTACTGAAATGCTTTTTTATCATTTAAGAAAGATTTGGAGGGATCAAAATCCAAAAACTGGAATCCAAACTGAGTATGTGTTGAGGGAGCTCAGAATGAATTTTTTAAATTTCTCTTTAACAGGCTGGATCTGAAAAATATGAATAATTGTTCGCCCCTTCAATGAAGTACTAGATTAAAACAAAATTAAATACAGAAACTTTATTCAGAAAGTGCAATAAAGGTCACTGTAATCCCACAAACACAATATATACAGTAAGATAGTATTTTTTTGATCCTTTGGTCCTTACAGTGACCTCTTATGTCTCTTCCTTTGTGCTCCTGAATGAAATTCTAATATAAACACACATTATGGATGTAGTTTCATCATTAGGGCAATAACTCGACTTGTGAGCTGTTTCTGTGCTTTCGGGTCACAGCAGGTTGCTCCTCGGCCAGCCTGTTCGCTTGGAAAGTCAGGACTTCAATGTGCCTTAGGAAAGCAAGGTGATGCAGGAAAAAAAACACCAGCTGTATGGTGTTTTATTTCTCTCTCTTTTCTGTTTTGTTTTTGCGTGTAGGGAGGGATTTGGCCAAATTTGAACCCTTAAAACTGCAGACAGACATGCAGCCCTCCCTTACACCACGCTTTACTTCAGTTGATAAGTACTGTTTATTTTACATAAACAACACCCCTTACTTTCATGTTTCCCCCGATGATTCCTCAGTGATTTGCAGTGATGAAAACCAGAGGAACACATGTGTTGTCTATTTGGAAAAAAAGCCCAGTATAGATTACATATACTGCGGGGAAACCATTGAAGTTGTTTTATTCTAGAGAGATATAGACTTCTGTATGCTAATAATTGAGGTAATTTTGATAATTGCTCAGTGGTAGGATTCATTTATAAAATAAAAAAAGGAAATAAAAAAGACAAAAATCAGCAGTAAATGTTACATCTAGTTAAAAGGCAGAGGTAATATGAACACACATACCAGCAGCAGTTGCACCTGTGCAATATTTGGTTGGATGGAAACTAAAGATCTGTGGCGCCAGCTGCACATTTTAAGTCACTTGCTTCTTCTTCTTCTTTTTCTTTTTTTTTTGAACTTGTATGAGAAGACCTGGGTTATGTATTGTGGATGTAAAAATGCACGTTTAAGCCTAAAACCAAATGATTTGCTGTATGAAAGCAAACTAGCAGCCTCCTCCTCCTCCTATAGCCAAGCTTCTCCTCCGGGTTCATCTCTCTGATCTACAGTATTTTTAAGCTTCTGTTCCGATTGTGTATTTTATTTTTTATCCTCATTTAGTTGATGAATAAATCTCGGCTGAGTCTCTTATAGCGGGATCTTTGAGACGGAGCTCTATATTCTTAACAGGATAGTTGGGGAATGAAACCTTTACGTCTGTTCTGTATTTATTGTAATATTCACCTGAACACTATCCGAAATATAGATTCATTTGATGTTTAAATGCAATGGCATTTATAGCATACTGTATGTTTATAAATAAAATGTTAATAAATTAAACTGGGCCTTTGTCTGTTATTTTTCCAATAATGTAAAAAAAACATATAATGCCCGAGGGAAACGGTTTAAACTAACGGAAGAAACGAGCTGAATAAACACTGTAGATATTGCATACTGCAGATCAAACCGCGGCTTCTGCAACAAACAGATGCGGAGCAGAGGAAACAGTAAGTTCGGTCTTCTCGGACACCGTTGTCTCCACCTCAAATAGTGTTTACTGCAGCGGGGACCACGTGGTTTGTTTATTTCTTATTTGGTTTAATTATTTATAGCATAGCAAAAACTTTAGATTATAGAATTGTGGAAAAAAACTGCAATCAGACGACAGATAAGACAATACTATACGCAGATAATATGAATTAAGAATAAAATCCATTAACAGTGTAAACTTGTCTTAAATTCTGCCAGTGATGTCAGATTCATCACATCGTGGTATGGACTTTATTTAGGTTAAAGTCAGATCAGACTTGGTATAATTGACTGGTTGTGGTTAAGGCCAGTGTTAGGTTCAGGCACCTGAGCGGGTGTTGACATTGGATTCTGTGATCTGATTAAGAATTTCAGTTGTGTTGCCAAAAAGATGCATCCATAATCTTTTCACAGGGTCACAAGTTCTGCTAGCTGTTCATCCAAAACCGACCCGCGTAAATCTTCACACCAAACATCGACAGGTTCATTTTTGGTTTTTGGCGTCACAGATTTTGGTGAAACTGCTGCTAATGTTCCAATGTTGAGCTTAAGGTTATTTTCTTTGAATATTATTTTTAAATAATTGCTTATTGTTGTTACATAGTACCAGATGTTTCAAATTTAGGTGAAATGGTTTTAAATCTTCTCCAGTATAGAGGCGTTTTCTGTGCAGCACTAGAGCGGTTTTTCAAATTCTGTCGGATTTCAGACCCGCTCTTAATTGTAGACTTTTGCATTAAAACTATTGTAATCTAAAGGCAAATGTTTCATATTTAGGAAAAATAAATAAATCCTGAAGACTGAATGAATTGTAAAGTGCGGTGCTGTCCGTGGTGCTGAAATCTGCGGCCTCCTCCAACGACCATGAGAGAGAACCTTAGCATTTAATACTAAGCAATCATACAGAAGCTTGTTTTTGTTTTGTATGATTAAAGGATAAGTATCTTCCAACATAAGTAATAATCATTTCCTTTTTTGTCCAAAGAAAACATGACAAAGCAACTTGGACTATTATTTTTTTTTTTATCATCAACAACCATTTCAATGGTACACCTGGAAAACTATGTGCACATGTAGAAATATTTCCTTCTTAAATATAAGCATTCATTACCTACATATAAATAACTTTCAGATCCCGGACAAAACATGTTACATAATGCTCACAAAATGGAAGAGAACTCATTGTAAAATCAGACAAAGAGACGACATGCAAATTATATAGAAATAAATACAATGTTTGCATCCATTCCCTTTTTTTTTTACCCAAAATAAATTCTTCCGAGGGAATTTTGTAAAACATCAAAAAGACTTGTATGATCGATCTACGAGGGAGTATGGCCTATGGTTCAACTATAGGAGACAATAATACGTATTAACACTATACAATTTGAGCCACAAAAACACTGCCGTAGAAAGACACACAAAACATACAGATTTCCTGTCGGAGGTGAACATTGCAGTAGTTTGTGCCTTATTTTTCTCTCGAGGAAATAATTGTGTTTATATCGATAATTTAAAGAAACTAAACTCTCAGCAGCCCTGGAAACAACAAACACAGCTGTAAGAGCAGCGGAGTGTGTGTCTACCAAGGAACAGAAAAGCAAAAAGCGTCAGCGCGCTCGGTGGAGGTTCGTGGTGTCAGAGAGAAAGAGAGAGAGAGCATCCTCAGTCACGGATACTAAACGTCTCTCTACCAAACAAAGCAGCTGTTGAACTCTGACATGTAAATGGGCAGAACGAGGCTCCTCCGCTCACTGATGGCACGACGCTGTTCCCAGTGCGCAGGCGTCTGTGTTTGCTCATAAATTTGGCCAAAGAAAAATGTTCATCTTAACAAGTCCCTTCATCCAGAGTTCAGTCTTAAATGTGTCGGGGCTTTTTCTTTTCTTCTTAAAACAAGAGGAGCTGTGTTGCTTTGGGATGAGATTTTTGTTCTGAATGTATGCGTGGATAATCTCAGCAGGGTTGTTATTAGTACAGTAAATCAGTCTTTAAACATGACTGGAAACATTTCACCCAACTTGCACTTGTTTTAAGAAAAAAAAAAACGTTGTTGTTATAAGACAATACGACTTGTCAAGATGGATATTTTTACAGCAAAAGTGTCACAAGAAACGGCGCAAGGCATAAAAATAAAATAAGAGAGTTGTCATCTTCTTTTTAACTGCTTTTTATTGTCCTTAAGTCTGTCTCGGGCAATTGCTTTTCAGTCTCCGGAGGGTGAGGACACTGTTTTTCTCCTCCCGCTGTGAAGCTGCATTAGAACATGCTGGTCTTTACTAATGTAGCTTTGGCTCCGTTCTGTCTTTGCAAAGACGACAGTACGCTGGCGAACGGCCCGCCCAATGAGTCCGGGATAGAGGTGATGGTCCCCGGGGCGGTGGCCCAGCCTTGGCTCGGTGCTGTCACCCCCATACCGGTGGACACGGAGGTCTTCACCTGGTCCACCACCTGTCCGTTCCCGGTGGTGTTGACCTGGCCTCCGGTGGGGCTCGGTCCGCCGCAGTTGGAGGTGGGCACGGGATTCGGGCCCGGTCCTCCTGTGCTGTCGGGGTCGGTAGATTTGGTGTCTTTGCTGTCTTCGTCTCTGGAGTCGGACTTCTTTCCGGAATTGGACTTAGCAGCCGCTGCGGCCGCTGCAGCTGCCCGCTCTTGCTTGCGGAACTTGGCACGCCGGTTTTGGAACCACACCTGAAATAAACCGAGTTCAAAAGTTAAACCAACATGAATGTTTGTTTTGTGCCAAAAAATCAATCACTGGTCATCTTAAACTGGTATTATCTCTCACACACACACAAGGCTCTTTAGCACCTTTGAGGTGAATTAACCCTAAATAAATCTGCTTATGATTGCGTCCCTAATGACAAACACCGTCTCTTTATTTGGCGCATTAATGCATAAGAGGGTGCTAGATGGAGCCAGAGGCCAGTAGTTCGTCGTGTCAAACCAGTGAAGGATTTATTTTACCAAAATCTATAAAAAATGAGTGATTAGACTCAGAGTGTTTAAATGTTTCTTATCTGCATCATAAATCCACCTGTGCGTAATTGTGTGTAATCGTGCGTAAAGGGAGCAGGTTGGCGTGTGTTGGGGAGCTGCTGGCTGTGTACCTGCACTCTGGCTTCAGTCAGATCGATTTTGAGTGCCAGCTCCTCTCTGGTGTAGATATCCGGGTAGTGCGTTTCAGCGAAAACCCGCTCCAGCTCCTTCAGCTGGGCGCTGGTGAACGTGGTGCGGATGCGCCTCTGCTTTCGCTTCTCGTTCAGTCCGCCGTGGTCCGTGAAGAGTTTGTAGGGAACTGTAAACGAAATAAAAATGTCACCGTCAGACGTGCAGTAGTCTTATCTGTGCAGATGTAAGTGTGTGTGATTGTGGTGCTGTCAAATGAAAGTAAACTCAAATTCGATATTTTGTATAAAATCCGGTTAAGGATGCTGCGCGAAAGCTTCCAATTGTATTATGCCTTTGATTACCTGTGAATTACTTCTGAATTGATAACGCTGCTGACCTGTGATGCGGTTAATTGTAATGTTAAACTAATTGTTGCTCCTCAGATTGAGGCTTAAGTTTGAAAACTTGTCATAATGTTCCCATCCGCCCCGCTCGTTGCTACTGTAACTCCAATTCGGTGTCAATAATGAGCTTTAGTCTTTGGTTATCTAATTATTTTCGAAGCTTTATGTCTCATCGCAAAGTAAATAAATTATGCCTATCATTTTGGCAGCTTAAGATAATTCTGTTGGCGGTTTTGGGTGTGACTGGGATAGTATAACCCCGTAACCGAATTACCGCTTGCCTGCAATCGCTTCTAACGTGATAAATTCTTTCATTTGTGTAAGCAAATTTCGTTTGGTAAATACTAAACACATTTCCATTTTCAAATGCAATCAAGACGTCCTATAATACGCCGGGTTGAGGCTCCGGATCCGCTGCTTACCTGCGGCGTACGGGCTGCTCTGGTGGTCCCGCAGGGTCCCCAGGCTGCAGGACCCCGGCGTGAGGGACGGGCAGCCGGAGGTGGCCCCGAAAGTGGTCCTGATGGGATTGTACTGAAACCCACTGGCTTGACTGCACGAACTGAAGTCCGCATAGGCCGATGCCAAGCTCGAAGTGTCCATCCCGGCCATACATGACTCGTAGGCAGAGGAATTTAGGTAAGAATACTCCATTTTATACATTTGAGAAGGCTCGGTGGAGATAGAAAGCTGCACTTCCCGGGAAAAAAAGGTCAAAACAACAAAAACTACCCCCAAAAAATTGGGTTGGAAAGTAAAAAAAAAATAATTATAAAAACAAAAATGAGGAGGACGCGCGGTCTGAGTTTGGGGGGAAAGATGACTTGTTTGGTTTGAACTGGTTGGAAGGAGGCTGGACGGTGGGTAGATGTTCACTGCTCAGCGCCTGCTCCAAAACTGGCCTCCTTTATAGGAACCTAGCCCTGTTTTATGAAAAGCCCCCTAAGAGCCGCCTAGCCCGAGGTCTCTAGAGCATATAGTCCTCATAATAAACTTGGCTCTTTCCGCTTGGACAATAGCAAAGCGTTTGGTCTTATTGCTAGCGCTTTTTTACATGACAATAACTCATCAGTCTATTGGGCTGGCACTGGGGGCCCGGGCTGTCCAACCTCCCTATCATTGATCCCCTGCATCTCTAATTAGAATTTAATACCACGCCATTACGCACCCCTCCACCGCCCCCCTCCACCCCTCTACCCATCCACCCCACTCCTCTCCAACCACCATCTTGCCCTTTAATTCAATCACACCACTTGGAAATAATGAAAGTTGGGTGACGATTCTCCCTGATCCAAT